CCCTTTAAGAGCTGTAAACATTTGCTTGGCTCGGCTTCAACAAGCTCAGGATAGGATGAACTTTCTATCCAGGAACGTCGTTAACGACATTTGGCAATGTATAGCGTTTCACCAGGATGACGCGCGTTCGCGTTCGCGTTCGCGTTCGCCTTTGCGTTTCTCCTTTTCATGGATTTCGCTGAAACAATGTTTATCATCTCGATGGTTTTTTCCCGCAGCCGATACTCGTTTGTCTCTTAAACGATCAGGAACACCACGTGTCGATGGCGTAACGATAACATCTTAACGAAATGTTTGCAACGAGGGTGTAAAAATTGTTGAGGTTCGAGTGAAAATTTGTAACAAAGTCATCGGTATAGTCTTGATTTATTGCGAAAGTATGCCGACCACCGATCAACAAAAAGAAAAACATCCTCCAAACTCGAATAGTTTTCGGTAAAAGCCGACGAGCTCGTATTCTAATTAGGTTTGCTGGTGAATCGCGAATTTGCTTAAAAGCGAAAACAGATTTTCTAGAATCTTGAATCGCGTTAACGGCAGAGGTTTAAACGTTTTCGATGTTTCGCTCGAACGTCGCAATTGAAGCTTTCCGTAGGGTAGACAATGCGAGCGAGTGGTCGCATTTTTAACGGAAAACAACCGGCCTCCTCGATTCTTCGCCACGCCGTTCACCGCACTCGAAAAGTAGAACGCCTAACCCCCGAGCAACCTGATCCAGTTTTCCGCGACTCATCCGAAACGTCGATCAGCCGACGCGACACGATGCGACGCGCCACGACCGACGTCCGCGTACCCCTTGCAACCGTTGGTGAAATTAACATAGACTACCGCATCAGACAGATTTCATCGAAACGAGGTCTATTCGATCGAACAAAATTCTCTCGATTATTTACCGTTTCCAATGAACGAACTTTGTTTGTACTCTCGATTCCGATCCGAACCGAGCGCGAGCGACCGAAAATCGGCAAATTGGTTAAACTTGTAAACAAATTTGTCGTAATGTTACATTATCGCGGATTACGAGTGATCGAGGGGAGAACAGAATAGCGGCGTGTCGCGTCGGCGTCGGCGTCGGCGTCGGCGTCGGCGTCGGCGGCGATGTTATCGACACGCGAGCCTAAACCTTAGCACTTTCGATGTTTCTTCGTGTTCCGTGGTAGTTTACCTCCTAAGGTGAAAGCGAACGACCTTCCCGGCTCGAAAGTAAAGTCCATCGATCAAGCGATGAACCGAAGTGAACACGCCACTCCGTGCTCGCTATCAACTACCGACGTCGTCGAATCGCCAGTCAGTTATTCCAGTCGAGACTCACGGTCTGACCCAGCGCCACCGCCAACACCAACGTCAATGCCAACGCCGGCTGACTGGCTTGGCTGACTGGCTTGGCTGACTGGCTAGCGTGTTACTAGCTAGTAGCGCGATACAACCGAGAATTATGTCACTATGCCAAGGCTCAACCTTGCCGCGACATGGTCGCCGATGAATACTGTATGAGACCACCTTACCGCTTCGACCATTCGCGTCGGCGTCGCTAGACAATCGGTCAGCACAGCTGACTCTGTTAACGAAACGACGCCGACGCCAACGCCGACGCCGACGCCGACGCCGACGCCCTCGACATCGCCATCGATTACGTTCCGTACGATCTGCCTCGGTCTCGAGCATCGTCGAAAATAACGCCAACTTGGACTGCCTTTGTAAAACGAAAGCAAAGCATTCGATAGAAAGAAGCGTTAATATCGTTCCCTGTTTTTTATGTGACAAGTAACAGAACGGTTTATCGCGTTCCAAGATCGAGGATGAAAAACGAATAGCCGTATTAATATTCGATTTGGATGACGACAACAAGTTATCGTAAAATTCATATTACGCCGTATTATGATTTTCCAGTCTATCGAATATCCGAGCGTAAATTTCCTATAAATTGGATTACTCGCCCGGGGAACGAGGCAGATTGTCCACTCGCAACATAAATATCCAAAATTAGGTGATAAATTATTCGCTATTCGATCAGCTCGCGTAACTTTAAGACAGAATTGATCCGTGGTTTGAGATAAGCCAATTAAAATTTGGCTGGAAATTTTAGCGGATGCTCTTCTGTTTTCGGTTCGTTTTAACGTATTTTCTCTTTTACAAAATTACCTTGCGTTTTCGTTCTTCTCTTTGCGATTTAGCCAATGTATCGTGTATTTGGCTAATTTTTAGCTGACCGATCGACTTTCGATTCCTCGAGTTCCATCGGCCGATTTCGACGCATCGAACCGAATTTGCGATAGATGGATCGCGACTCGTCGAGTTTACCGCGTTCCTCTCAAGTCACAGCTGGTTAACCCGATCAACGTCCAACCGTTGGACGTTAACCGACGCTACTCCTGAACCTGACAGACCGACACGGTTCGTCAGCCACCTGGTTGTCCGACCGCTCGGGGTGCTTGTAAACCGATGATTTTCCACGACACAGCCGACCAACGCTTGGTTATCGAGCGAAAGTCGCAACCGTTGGATTTGGAAAACTTTTCCTACCAATTTTTCGACTGAAAATTCCTATCTCGAAACCAGTCTTTCAAAGAAGAAGAAGAAGAAGAAGAAGAAGAAGAATGTTGGATTCCATCGTTGATCGTGACAAGTTTCCAGCTACGCGACGTTCAAGTTTACGCGAGGTGAGCCAAACAGTTTATATGTTTCATTTTTCGGTGTATTTGAAAGCGCAAGCTCGCCAAGTATGTCGTCGTCTCGCGCGACGCTTCTAGTCCAAACACTTGGTTTTAAGAATCTTCAGAGAAGGGCGGACGCGAACAAGTTCCGCGCGGCAAAAGTGGAAAGGTAGAAAAAGTGAGAAAGCTCGTCGAGAACGGAAGAGGGCAAATTCGGGCGGGACGGTCAATTTCTCGAGAAGAACACGAGACGGCGAACGAAGAAGATGCTTTTAAGAAAAAAGTAATTAGGGAACGAGATTGCCACGAGACACTTTGGTCGAGAAAGTGCGGCAATACGCGTACGTCGCGTCTTGTCCCGCGACTCTATACGTCGTTTGTTGATTACGTCTATTATGTAACGAAGTCTGGTAAACGAATGTCGTTTACAATTAGTTCAGTTTCGTTTCGTTTCGCTTCGGTTTGTTTCGTTTCAAGGAAATATCAAAGAAATAACGGGTAAATGAACGGAACGCATGCGTCGACGTCGTTCTAGGTTTCGCATCACGGATCCACGATATCTTATGGTCCGAAACAAGTGTCTCTTGGATCGTACGATGTCGTTGGTTGCAAGGGAACGTTATCGACAGCTGCTGCTATTGTAATTGGGTACTTGAGGTTTAGAGGTTCCGGACACTTAACTTTACGATCATCCAAAGTTGATCGACTCGAGTGTTCCGGTCAAGTATGAGCTTCGAGCAAACTGATCTTGTGCCTCTATCGGTACTCGTCCCCTTCCCCGTTTAACCCTCGAATTACCGCAGCTTTCTCCTTTTCGGGGAATGCGCGACCGAGTTCTCCGTGAAACTTGGGTTACGCTCGTTAACAACGCGTCGTTGTTCCCGCGTAATTACTCGTCTCACGCAAATTGCAAAATTTCATTCAACCAAAACTAGTTTGGATTGTTTCGGAATTCCTTCTATGCGGAAAACGCGTTGATTTTACGCCGACCAGTGTCCAACGATGATTAGAGTCGGTCCTCCATTGGCGCACCAGGAGGTTCATTGTAATAACCGGTATTACTCGATAAACGATCGAACGCAGACGTTCGCGGCTATGCAACACCACTTAGCTCTAATGAAAAAAGTTCGTTAGGAATGGTTGCCGACGGAAAACATTTCTTAACATCGCCTTCGATGCGCGATAGATACACCTACACCTACACCTACACCTACACCTATACCTATATCGAGCGGGGAAATAATGGAAAATCGCAAGCCTGGCGAAAGAATACGTTGGCAATACTATTTTCTCTCTCTCTCTCTCTCTTCTTTTCGACTAAAACGATCAAGTTTCATCGCGCGTGGTTTATCTAAATGTTCTCCGCTTTGCAACATCAAGATAAAACACGTTTTCCGCGGTGTGCAACAATCGAGTAGTCCTTGCTATGTACCTACGTAATATTAATTAGCCAAGCCGTACGTGTAGCGATTAATTTCAAAGCGTAACAGTAACTCGGAAAATGTTTACGAAATTAAGGTAAATCGATGGTCGACGAAACGCGTTGGTAGACCGTTGGAGAAATTTGTCACGAATAATCTTTTTATTCGCATAACCGTCCATCGTGAAACCGATCGTAGACGCGATATCGTTGGACCAACTTGACAAATTATTGAACGCGCAACATGGTTCACCGTTTTACAACCTTTGCCTTTGGTAGCCGATTGCTGTTTGTCGCGACGATTGTTTCGACGAGACTTGGCTTCTCTTTAAATCCGCGTCGCCGGCCGTCTCGATTTTCCAACAGAATATTCGCGTACACCGTTTGGAACGTTTTCCATGACTTTTCCACTCTGCGAGCAACAAGAGAGCGACTGCTTCTTTGAAAAATATTTACTCGATAGATGCGACACGACGCGACGCGACGTAACGTTTCGTTTTGAACAGAGAAAGAAAGATTCGACCTTTCTCTCGATCGCGCAAACACATTTCCACGACAAACTTACTTCGATGACAGCCACAAACCACAATTGTTTAGTCACAATGTCAGCTCTGCTACTGTTCCATCCGGCGTGATTGCATCCTTAGAAGCGACTAGTTGATATTGGAATTAGTGCGGCAACTTCCAGCGAGTACATAGACGCGTTCTCCCTGGTGACTAGGTATGAATGGATCTGCGGGGTGTACGGAAAATGTTGAACCGGATCTGTGCATCTCGTTTCTTTCAGCAAACAAGTCTTTAGTCTTTTCTGGTCTTGTCCTTTTTAGCCCTTTCTATGTATTTTGTCCGAAATGTCGCGTCGGCGTTGCGGCAATCGTATCGTCGAATCGCTGATTTCACTCGGATGTTACAAATTTCTGTTACAGATCCAGTGCCGAGATCGTCGGTTGCTTCGCGAAGCAACGATCGACGGCGAAGAAGAGCACGCGATGAGAATCGACGACAGAATTAACGATCGATACCGTCGAGTTAGCGAGGCTTCTTCCGATCGTCAGAAAATCAAACGTCGTAACGCGACAAATGGCAAATAAACATTGTTTGTTACGCTTTTCAAAGTTTAGGCACGTTCCGTTGCCAGTTGGTTGAATGTGTCGTGCACGCAAAGCCGCGCACGAAATCTTCCTTGTTAACGACATAGATGTACATGTATATCTTTTCGTAAAATTATTCACGCGTCTCGGAGAGTTGTCCGAAACCCGCTCGATCTCGTCGCGACTCGAGCCAACAGATACAAAGAGTGTTGGGATTTCAAGTATAACGCTATTATAACACGACAGTAACAATGTTTGTTGGTAAATAATAACTGAAACGGCCGCGAATAATCGCGTCGTAGCGCGTTGATTCGTGCAAGCACGTTCGAAAACGCGAGCGAATCGTAGTTGTAACGAACAACAAGGAAAAGAGCGAGACGTGTTTGGAACGGAACGGAGTAAAATGAATGCTGGGGCGACGGCAACGCCGACGCCGACGGTAGCGGTGGCGTAGCCGTCGATTCGATACAGTCAATTAACTCTCGACGCTCTATTAGATTTAAAGAGCGGTTGTTTTCAATGGACACTCGCGAAATGAGATAGTACTCGAATCGGGCCCAGCAGCTTGGCAAGATTACCAGTAGTCGAGAAATCGGTGGCTGGTTAAGACGGAGCCAATTAAAAGTGACGGTCGTTAACCGATAACTTTTACGACAGACGAGACGCCGCGGAAACACTCGTGTAACGTACAAACACGATGGCCGTCGCTGTTCCGAAAAAATTTCGACATCGATGTTGGCGTCGTTTCATAGCGGCCGCTCATCTCTGCGCAACCATCATGTGGCTCGATGGAATTTTGAGCTGTGACGGGCAAAAACCGATAAATCTCGGCGGCGCGAAAAGACGAGACGTTTACATCGCTGGATTCTTTCCGTACGGGAACCACGTGCCCGAGAGCCACGTTGGTCGCGGCGTTATGCCTTCGGTGAAGCTCGCTGTAGATCACATCAACGAGGATCCTGCCGTGCTGAGAAACTACCGACTGCACATGTGGTGGAACGATACAGAGGTGAGTGGATCAAACGATTACGTTAAACCCGCAATGGGAAATTGAACGTTGAGCGATCGTTGTCGACGCGACGCAAACTTTCGTTTATACTTGGCGAGTAGTATAACTCGAGGATCGCTCGGACACACCAAACGCGTACGTAGCGTAACGCGCAACACTCGGAAACGACCGTTACCGTTTAAAGTTTTTCGCGACCCGAACAAGAACCACCCAAGTTTCCCGACTCGGAAAATTCGCTTCCACGTCGAAAAATTGATTAGATTTTCCATTCATTTTCCGTAGTCGTGTAGAAATTGACCTGTAAAACCTAGTCGAAGACGAAAACGAATGGGAACGTAGGTTCGTTCGATCGAGAATTCGGCTCCGTGTTTAATATTCCGGAGGTAGTCGACCGTGATCGCGGCAATCAATTTTTTAAATTCCACCGAGCCAATCGATATACCGAGAACCTTTTCTATACGAGTTAAACATTACATTTACAATATGGGTTAGTAGGTCTTTCGAAGACGCTAGAAAACATTCGTACATCGTTGAAAATTCTAAATACATATTGTTACGTAGAGGAATAACTATCGAGGCGATTGTTTGCGAGCAATAAACGAATCGATCGCTACGTTTCGATATTTCGATACGTTTCGAAAAATTAGATTTCATATTTTAAAGCGACATCGCCGCGACGTACAATCATTTAAAGAGATCGCGATGCTAGAGAGCAGCGCCGTATGCAATTTCCATAAAACAGTCGTAACGCGAACAGTACAAAATCCATTTCAATTATCGAAAACAAGTTTACACGTGTTCGTAAAGTGAAAATCAGAGCTTCCCCGGTTTAGCGAACTTTCGCACGTGCAGAATTTCTATTAAATTGCACTTGTGTCGTAGAAGGAAGACGAGAAAGCCAAGTGTCGGACGCTGCCGCGCGACAAGTCTATTTAAGTAGAATGGGTAAACGATCGGATGGACGCGGCTGCTCCGTACATACGTCGGCGTCGCGTCGCGTCGTAAATGGTGTCGCGGTACAAACGTCCGTTTCTATTATAATTCCGAGGCCACCGCCCAAGACCAATTCGATCCTGTACGTAGTATGGAAACGTTGGAAAAATTCAACAACTAAATCGAATTCGTTTAACATGCCTACATAGCGCATACTTGCATTAAACAATATTTTTAGCTATATGACTATTTCAAACCCTGTTACCAATGGCCGGTCGTTACTTGGCCAAAATTTCTGGGAATTACGTCGAGAACACCAAAAATTCGTATTGTTCCCAGAAATTACGCGAGAGCGTTTAACAGTTTCGCTATTGTGCCGAAACGGAAAACTATGACCGCCATTGTTTTCATATTTCGTGTGCGCGCGCGTACCGTTTTGGCTTTGCTTCGAAAACTTGGTCCTACTCGGATCGTCTGTTATTGTACGTGTTTTAACGGTGAACTTGTTAGAAATGCTTGCGAGGTAACGCTTTCCACGTGAAACTTTGTTGCCAGAGCTGACCATTTCTATAACGTTTGCCCGGTACCCGACAAGGGCCATCACGTTCGAGAATTAATTACGTTGAAAAACATAAATAGCAGCAGAGGTTGGGGCTGGATACGGAACGGAACGGAACGGAACGGAATCGTTTGCACGTGAAAAAGTCGCAAGACGTAGATATCGCGAACTGGGAAACCTAAAATCCACATCACGTTCGTTCGGGTGCGGACGCGGACGCGGACGCGGACGGTCTCGGAGAAGGATAAAAACGGAGTTTCGGGGCGGTCAACGATTGGTCCGGCTCGTCGAAACGCGAGGGTGACACGCGATGCGGAAGAAAAGGGGATTCATCTGTTCGGTGCGATGCGTGATCGATCCGTAGATAATCGGCGAGCAATAATAGGGCTAACGGCAAGGGACGCGTCAGAGTCTTTCTGTTTTCTCAAAGGTTTTTCGTTCCCTCCAGCTTGCCGTAGCTCCAACTTGTCGATTCGAGTCTAAATAAGTTGCGAGTTAATGCTCGTAAGTTGATAATAGGTAGTTTCCGTTGGGCGAAATCGAGGAGGCCGAAGAGTATCGGTACGTTTGTCCGATGATGGTAAGCTATATGAAATTTCGAGCGACGCGCACGCGTTAGCTCGAACAAAGATGATGGGAGAATGGGAAAAGAAAAGACGCTCGAGGAAGATTGATAGAATCGAGACGATAAAGAAGGGTGACGAGGCGTAAAGCGAGGCGCGACGAGGCCGGAAAGCGACACGCGGAAAGTAATGGGAAAGGAGAAGGACAGGTATAGAGGAAGCTCACCTTGACTCGGTGGCTGTGCAATATCGATCCGTCGAGTAAACTCGCTAATATAATTGTCCCTGTAGCGCAAAAAGCCGCGTTGCATCGCGTTGGTGCTATGGATAACGTTGCTATTGCTAATTCGCGACCACCATTTGTTAGCGGAATTTTCAACGTCACGCGCGCAGCTGCTCGGTACCTCTAAATCTAGCGATTTTTCGCTCGGCTAATTTTAATCGATCGACTTTGAAAGAGAAACGTTAATTTGGCGTTAATTTAAACGGGCGAAAGTTTGCGCGGCGCGAAAATCAAATTTCTCACGCGACTCGATAAAAGAGCTTACGCGAACAAAAGAAAATTTTGTTTGTCGTATCATAGTCGAAAGCTTAGCAAGTGTACGGATCAAGTTAAAATTGATTGAGACTGAATGCGCAACGACACGGTCAGAAAATCCATCGAGTATCGGTTACTCTCGGACGATTCGATCGCGACTAATTCCAGCGAGGCAAGGCAGAGACCAGAGGGGAATAAGAGTATCTTTGGAGCTTTTACACCGATCGAGGATTCGAATACGCGATGCGACGCGACGCGACGTGGCGCACCGCAGGGCTTTCAGCGATATTTTCTTTGGTCGAGTTAGGTTGTCGATGTTATCCGTTAAGCGTTGCAGATCAAATGTATTTACGATCGATTAAGTAGAAATCGATTGGCGCGTCGAAACGGCGAGACACAATTTATCGTATCACGGGGCTCGGGTTTATCGCAAGGCAGGAAAAAGAAGAGAAACCGCTCGATTCCAGCAATCACGATCGTTACGACGAGCTAACGTAATTTCTTTCAGACCGACATTTCTATCTTTTAACTTGTTCCGACTTGTTCCTTTACTCCGGGTTCGGAGAGCACGTTTCCTCTCTTAGTTTTTCTCTATTTTCCTCTCTATCCCGAACACGGTGGGACGATATAGTCTCGCAAACGTGCGCGATCCAATAACTCGACGCTCTTGCTTGGATTAATCGAATTTATTAATTGACCGTAGTTGATGCTACCAACACAAGTAATTTAGCGATATTTCTATTCGCGCGCGATAACAATGTACATAGAAATACGACAATTGGAACCGTTTCGATAGCGTAGACGCGAAAGTGGGAATAAATTTTTAATAGAATCGTAGGAGAACTCGTCGGGACTGATAGGTTTTCCTCGATCGATACGCGAAGGACGCGTCCTTTGTGAATCCGAAATATCGCGCGATATCGAACGGCTATAAATGTAAAGTTGCCATTCGAAAGACTTTGAGCTTTCCAACGCGTTTCGCGCGTTGTCTGCAATAGCCCGTTGCGTATTTAATATTTTTTTTCCAAAGCGTTAAATGCGGCAACATCGGTGTATACTCAACCGCAGCCGTAATCTTATAGTGACCTACCGTGAGGTGGTGTACGATGTAAAACTTGGTAGAGACGCGACGCGACGCGACGCGACGCGACGACTCGATTCGAAGGCGATCGCGCGACTCGAGGACCCTTTCGTACCGGTCGTTATTCCGTAGGGAGACGGTGATTAACGATTCCTCGTGGATCGTTTATGCAAGTATGCGCTCGAGCTTTCGGTCGAAAAGCTGTAACTCCTGAAGCTCCGACGCTAAGATTTGAGCAAATAACACTCGTGCCGAGATAGAGGAGGCAGAGGAAGAGGGAAAGCACACGATCCGGCTCATACCCGGACCAGCTAGCGATGGAACGAAGACGCTTCGAATCGTTTCGAACGAGAAACGCCATCTCTCGAACCTTGCGAACGCTACTAGAGATCAGCCTCGAGTCTCGAATCTCGAGTCCCGAGTCTTTCGCGTAACGAAACGATCCTCGATCGGCTCAACGGATTCAGAGACTCGCAAAAGCTTCGACAGTTGACAGTTTCCATTGGAAAAGTTGAAATTTGCCGAGTCTCGGTAAGGATAGGAGCCATGTTCGCGTCACATTTCCACGTTGTCTTCGTTGCTTTCCGCGTTTCCTCGACCGCGATCTTTCGAACAAAATGTTTGCGCGTCGCTTGTTCGTTTGGTCGAATTGCTCGTAAAGTTGGAACAACGAGAACCGAATGGCCATCGCTAGCCAACGCTGTCTCTTGGAGTCTATAACGACCCTCCCTCGTTCCCGTGGCTGCTGTTCCCATTGAACGGGGGGTGAGATGTTTGCGATGGAATTTGAAAGTTCAACCCCGTCGAGAGGTTCGGTCCTTTCGAACCTCTCAACCACTTCACCCTCCGCTGTTATGTGCCGCTTTAACTCCACTCGTCCATCCAGTCCTCCTCCCACGACTCCGATCCGGTGGCTGAATTTAAAGGGTCGATCGAAAGAAATCCTTCGGTTCGCGCGTTCCTCCTTCTCTTCTGTGGCTCCTCTTCTCCACTAGATCACCGTATCGCGTCACGTCACTATTGCGTCGAGATATATGGTAAATGAATTCGTTACCAAAGTGTTTTCGATTCGAATGAAACCTGACCGACGCGCGACGGCTTTACAACGAACGACGATGCAACACGAATGTTTTCTGTATGTTTCGCGATCGCTGCAATGCTCGGTTTATCGAAATGTCATTTACTGGACAACCAAATCAACGATTCCCGTTAATCGTGTTCGGTATAAAGGTAGTCGACCCGTTCCATATGTCGGAAAGTTTCTCGAAAATTCCAAATTTACCGAGTTTATGTCGCACAAGTTTCCGACCTAGCTCTCTGCCTTTG